TTCGTAGCCCCGGCCCTGGGGTGTGTCCCTCTTTTCCCTCTCTTTCCCCTCAAGGCTGCTGGGAAGTGTAGGCGGGGAGGTATGGCAGCTCCATTGTTCCCTATGGAGTACCCCCCACACACACATAAGGAACTACCAGGCTGGTATCCATTTTAAGGCCTGGCAGCCATTTCGTCGCACACCCAGTGGAGGAGAGTACGTGAGCCCTGAGTCTTGTTCTGTTGGCCCTGAGTCTTGTTCTGTTGGCCCATCACACACTCTGGTGCTGTCACGAACCAGTCCTGAATTGTGAGCACCTTCCATAGACTCTCGTAGGGCTGAAGAGTGGGTTTGAGAGCTGGAGACACTTTGCAACGATGCAAGGTTGCAAGCTTTTGAGAAACCAGCCAATGTTTTTCATTAAAGAGAGGCTGAAAAGAGCGGGCGTACAACGGCTGCCAAGCCGCTGTGGACATCTGAGCTTTTCCCGTATCCCCGTTTTTATTTTAGGAAGCCGTGATAACGGGCCGGATGCTAGATTTCTGGGTACACCAGGGGTCCCCCAAGCATTTTGAGCTCTTAGGCGCCTTCGGAAACCTGACGCAATGTGGCGAGCACAGCCACAGTAAGGGTGTCACAAAATGGCTGACGTAGGAAGGAAAAGGGGGACGGGGACGGGACTGAACCTAGAAACCTGGGATCCAGAACCTGAAAAGGTTAGTCAAGTAGAAAAGAGGGCCAACAACAAAAGCTTAATATACAGGGCTATTTTTGGGCAGGAACGCACAGGAACGGAGTTCCGGCTGGCTCCCAAGTTGGCCACGCCCAGTAGGAACTCATTAGCATAATAGACCACACCCAACAGCAGGAACTCATGAGGATTGGCTACATTGGGGGTGTGTGGCCTAACATGCAAAGGAGTTCCTGCTACAAAAAAAGGCCCTGGGTTTTGACAACAAACAAGGTAAACAGAATAAGAAGCAAAAGGTGGGTGTGGCTGGATGACCACACTTCTGGTAACATGGGGGTGCGGCCTAATGTGCTAATGAGCTGTGCTGTTAGGGGTGTGGCCCAATATGCTAATGAGTTCCTGCTGTTGGGTGTGGCCTGTTATGCTAATGAGTTCCTGCTGGGCTTTTTCTTCAAAAAGAGCCCTGTTTAATTATATATATATAATTATATATATATAATACATAAGGGCCCAATCACACCTCATGTAAAAAATACCAGAATCTACCACACAAGGGCTAATAGACTTGACCCGACGCGTTTCGGCCTGAATAGGCCTCCTTCAGAGGTCAAACACCGTGAGGAACATAACAACTTGTATAATAGTACAGTACAATCACACAAATATAAGATGTAAATACAAGAAGGACCAGAAAAGAGTTGTTCCAAAGTGAAACCACTGGGCACAGAATATAAGTACAAATGAGGCCTCCAAAGATGCAATCACAGGCCAAGGTGGTGTTTCACTGATGATAATTTCTGGTCCAGAAAGTGCCTTCCTATGATCGTGTAGAAGAGAAGAAGAAGAGATTGGATTTATACCCCGCCCTTCACTACCCAGGGGAGTCTCAGAGCAGCTTACAAACTCCTTTCCCTTCCCCTCCCCACAACAGGCACCCTGTGAGGTAGGCGGGGCTGAGAGAGCTCTTGACAGAAACTGCTCTTTTTCAAGGACAGCTCAGCTCTTATCAGAACTATGGCTTGCCCAAGGTCATCCAGCAGGTGCAAGTGGAGGAGTGGGGAATCAAACCCGGTTCTCCCAGATTAGAGTCCGCGCACTTAACCACGACACCAAACTGGTGTAGCCAAAGTGTCCTCAGTAGAATTGTCCTTAGGCAAAGAGCAGATGGAGCCATCCACAACATTGCACCCGTCACCCCGTGGGGATCCCCACCCGGTGGGGATGCTGTGCTGGCAGCCGCCGCCAAAGAGACATTTTAACAAACCTGCCCAGCCAATGGAATCTCCAGTGGCCAATCACAAACCTTGCCGGGCAAAAGTGGCTCCACCCACTTTGTAAAAGCACAAGGAGATGTGTCAACAGGCCCCTGGGATAGACCTTCCCTGTGTAAGCACTTGATGGGAACTCAGGCCCTTCTGTTGAAAGATCTCCAGTTTCAGAGAGCAGCCTATAAAACTGGCAGCCCGATGTCAGTTATTTAGCCGCAATAAAGCTGCTTCCTGCCTTCCTTCTCTCCTGCTCTTCCTTGCCCTCCCACACACATCTGGAGGCTCTGCCTGACATCTCTCTCTCTGCCTTTCAGGAGCATGTATCCCGTGTGGAAATCGTTTCTCGAAGGCACGATGCAGGTGGCCCAGTCGAGGCTCAATATCTGCGAAAACTACAAGAACCTGATTTCTGAGCCCGCCAGAGCCGTGAAGTGTTTCAAAGACCAGCAGCTGAAAAAGGTATTGCCCCCGGAGTCTTCTTTGGGCCCCTTCTGTTTGGAAGGCTGAGCTTCCACCGTAGAATTGCTAACTTAACTTCTGGCAAGACCGTTGCTGAAGAATCTCCACAGCCTTCCGAAGGCTAGATGCCGTCGATCTGTTCCGTTCTAATCATAGAGTTGGAAGGGACCTCCAGGGTCATCTAGTCCAGCCCCCTGCACAAGGCAGGAAATTCACAACTACCTCCCCCACACACACACCCAGTGACCCCTGTTCCATGCCCAGAAGATGACAAAAAACCCTCCAGGATCCCCAGCCAAACCGGTCTGGAGAAAAATTGCTTCCTGACCCCAAAGTGGCGATCATCATTTCCCTGGGTGGGTAAGAAAGGGTCACGAGAACTAAGCACTGAGGCAACCCTCCCTGCCCCTCCCTTCTTGTGACCTGCCTGAGTTCACAGAATCAGCATGGCTGTCAGATGGCCATCGAGCCTCTGTTTGAAAACCTCCCAAGAATCATAGAATGTTAGAGTTGGAAGGGACCTTGCAGGTCATCTAGTCCAACCCCCTGCACTCTGCAGGAGCAGAGCCGAAAGAGAGCCCTACAACATACCCGAAAGACGGTTGTCCAGCCTCCGCTTGAAAACATCCAGCCAAGGAACACCCACCACCTCCCGAGGCGGTCTGTTCCACTGCTCAACCACTCTTACAGTCAGGAAGTTTCTCCTGATATTTCGCCAGTAACGACTTCCTTGTAATTTCCACCCGTTAGATCTAGTCTTGCAATCCGGAGCAAGAGAGAATAGATCTGCTCCATCTTCTACATGACAGCCCTTCAGATACTTGAAGAGGGGAATCATGTCCCCTCTAAGACTTCTCTTTCCCAGGCTGAACAGACCCAACTCTTTCAGCCTTTCCTTGTATGACTTGGACTCCAACCCTCTCACCATCCTGGTTGCCCTCTTCTGGACACGCTCGAGCTTGTCAACATCCTTCCTAAAATGGGGTGCTCAAAACTGGACACAGGACTCCAGGTGGGGCCTGACCATAGCAGAATAGAGCGGAACTACCACCTCCCATGATCTGGACACAGGGCTTCTGTTCATGCATCCTAAGACTGCATTAGCTTTCTTCACAAGAAGGACAGCCCACCACCTCCCGAGGAAGCCTGTTCCCCTGAGGAACCACTCTTACTGTCAGGAAGTTCTTCCTAATGTTGAGCCGAAAACTCTTCTGATTTAATCTCAACCTCTTGGTTCTGGTCTGACATTCTTCCGGTACTTTCTTCCGGTGCAAGAAATCTTTTCTCTGATGCAAGGGGCTCAGGTTGATGGGAAGTTCATCGTGCTGGATATAAGAGTCACTGCTAGTGCAGCAGATCTTCTGGCCCATGTTATTTTATTTTGTTTTATAGTTGCAATGAGGCTTTTTTTTCTCCCTACGGTACATGAACTGGTGATGGGGTTGCCAGCGCCCCCCCAGCCACTAGTGGGGAGTGGGGAGGGATTTTTGTCAAATCCATGTCTGGAACCTCCTGGAGATTTGGGTATGGAACCTGGAGAGGACCTCCCTTAGGTACAGTGCTATAGAGCAGGGGTGTCAAACTCATTCATTATGAGGGCCGGATCTGACATAAATGAGACCTTGTCGGGCCGGGCCATGTGTGTCATAAAATGTAACGCCAGGCAGCGGAGATATAAGCTGTATGAAGGACACAAACACAAAGTTGTGGGTTTTTTTACTTAAAATAAAAACATGCTTAAAACATTAGCACGCTTGCAATATTTTGTTTATTTAACAAGTGTCTGATAACTGACACCTCTAGCTTTGAATGATTGCATCAAAATGCCTGTGCTGTTGCAATCTTGAGTATGCCGTTCAGGCGTGTATCTGTAAGCTGCAAACCTATGATGATGCAGCAACAGCAGAACTGGAAGAAGAAGCAGAAGACAGCCAGTTCCACTGTGGGCCTGATAGAAGCCCTCCAGGGACCTGATCCAGCCCCCGGGCCGCATGTTTGACGCCCCTGCTATAGAGTCCTCTCTCCGAAGCATCCATTTTCTCCAAGGGAACTGACCTCTGTAGTCTGCAGATGGGCTGTAATTCCGGGGGATCCCCGAGTCTCACCTGGAGGCTGGAATCCCTACCTGGTGCTGATATTGTGATGTTTTGATTTCACATTGGGTTCCCCCCCCCCTTTCAAGTTTGTAGTTTATTCAAATAGAAATAGCTTTCCTTTTGCCCTTTCTTTGTACCACGAGATATGATTTCCTTTCCTTGATTTGTCTTGCTCCAGAGCACCTGATTTTTTAATCTCTTTAAACAGTTACCTGCTTCCTTTCTTCTTCCTGTTTGGCCTTAAGGCGGCTGACCAGATACAAAATAAACAAACCGGGGCAGAGTCCAGCAAAAGGATGGCAATCCATCAGAAAACAGAGTCTGGCGTTATTAAGCTTCCAGGGTGGGGTGGGGACCAGTGTTCCCTCTAAGCTGAGTCAGTGTGAGCTAGCTCACAGTTTTTTAGGCTCCGGCTCACACATTTTTTGTCTTTGCTCAGGAAGGATGGCTCCGGAGCAAACTAACTGATGCAGTAGCCAGATTTCTGCTCGCTCAGAACTTTAATGCCAGTCGCTCACAAAGTAGAATTTTTGCTCACAAGACTCCACCAGGTTAGAGAGAGCATTGGGGGGGGGGGCCCTCCAAGCAGCAATACCCTGGATGGAAAACCTTCCATTCCGAACCGTCTTCCTCATTGCTTACGGCACATCTTGTAGCCTCCGGCTCACACATTTTTGTCTTCGCTCGGGAAGGATGGCTCCAGAGCAAACTAATTGATGCAGCAGCCAAATCGCCCGCTTACAACTTCAATGCCAGTGGCTCACAGAGTAGAATTTTTGCTCACAAGACTCCGTAACTTGAAGGGAGCATTGCTTGTGGCCATGTGTTGGATTCAGAACTAAGAAGAAGAAGAAGAAGAAGAGATTTATTTATTATTTATTTATTTATTATATTTGTACCCCGCCCATCCCGCAAGCGGGCTCAGGGCGGCTAACACTGCGGTACAATGTACCTGAATAATATACAAAATCTTAAAACACTATAAAATATCATAAACAATGCATTAAAACATACATTAACAATTTCTACTAAAGTGCATATCGTAGACATATTAGATGGCACGCTTCCAGATCTCATACCACTCATCGTCCCTTGTGCCGGAAAGCCTAGCGAAATCCAGGACCAGATCTCAGGTCCCCGCCGTCACTAGGACCATTGGTCACTAGGACCATTGGATTTATACCCTGCCCTTCACCACCCAAAGGTGTCTCAGAGCGGCTTACAAACTCCTTTCCTTTCCCTTCCCCTCCCCACAACAGACACCCTGTGAGGTAGGCAGGGCTGAGAGAGCGCTTGACAGAAACTGCTCTTTTTCAAGGACAGCTCTTGTCAGAACTACGGCTTGCCCAAGGTCATCCAGCCATGTGCAAGTGTAAGAGTGGGGGAAT